GTGTGAAGTCCGTCAGGTAAACTCTAGGTGATGTTGTGAAGAAGTGAGAATTTTACACTTAGCCTACAGTAACATTTTTATGGAGAATATTTTAGAAACTTTCTACTTCTTCGTCCTTTTCTAAGTGAGTGAGTTCTCGGCACCTCTCACACGTGTGTGTGTGTGTGTTGCCATTGAAATGCTCAATCCTTATCTAGCATATATTGTAACTCGCCAAACTTCTAGCTGTTTTGCAACCCTTCCCCTTCAAAGGCTCTGACTTTGTTAAAGATTGCTGATCTGTAACCTAAAGGTTAGCTATCATAGCATACTTTCTCTGGTCATGCCTCACTCAGTGTTTTTCTATGCAGGGATTGCCCACTTAGATATGTACTTCTAACTGTAGGTTAAACTAGTAACATGAAACATTACTGTCTACTTTATTCAATCATTGAACATTTAATTAGATATGTACTTCTAACTGTAGGTTAAACTAGTAACACGAAACATTACTGTCTACTTCATTCAATCATTGAACATTTTATTAGATATGTACTTCTAACTGTAGGTTAAACTAGTAACACGAATCATTACTGTCTACTTCATTCAATCATTGAACATTTTATTAGATATGTACTTCTAACTGTAGGTTAAACTAGTAACACGAAACATTACTGTCTACTTCATTCAATCATTGAACATTTAATTAGATATGTACTTCTAACTGTAGGTTAAACTAGTAACACGAAACATTACTGTCTACTTCATTCAATCATTGAACATTTTATTAAAACACAATATTCTACCTCACAACTTCCTGTTAGCCTCTACTTTGTAACAACAAGTTTTTACAAATACATTGGAATGAAAAGGTGTTTGAATTTGTTTGTACATTTGTAGGTTGGGTTTGAACCCAAAACTTCTAGCCAAAATTATGAATTCCAGTAGTGGACGGTCCTGGGCTTGTGAAGTGTATAACCCTGTCCCTGGAGTATTAGAAAATGTTCCATCAAGCAATAATTACGAGGGAGGTTTTGGTGCCAGCTTAATGTTAAAGGCAAGTTGTTCAAACTGACTTAAACTTTTAATTCTTGTTCCATAAGAAAAAAAAAGCCATGATATATAGATCACCTTTTTATTTGTGTTCATAAAAAACAGAGGAATTACTGTGTGTTTATTAATAACTGTGTACAGATCTCTCTTGTGGATTTACTGACCTCATAACCATTTTGTACTTGTTATACTTTTCATGCTATAACTTTTAAATTAGTAAGCGTATGTTAACAAAATTTGACAGATTATCAGTAAACGTTACAATGCTTTCATATGCAATGCTTAAGGTTTGTAAAGCAGTGTTTTTCTCATGCCTTTTTTTTTCTTTTTGCATGTTGCCTATCCAACATAATTTTTTTGGGTTTTATATATACAATTGAATAACCAAAAAATCATAAATTACTACATTAATACCATAGAATTCCATTATAATTTATTAAGCTTAGTAACTAAGCTGTATTTGGGTTTAAAAAAATATGAAATTTAGAGCAGACTAAAGACACAACCTTCCTCCTTGAAATATTGGTTCAAAAAAAGAGATGGCATCCAAACACATTAAAATGGCTGAGAAAGCCATTAGGGGGACATTCTGAGCTTTCGATTGGTTATTCATGTCATACATAGAAATAAGTGTATATAAAGGAGCATTTCCAAAAATGGAAAAAGGTGGGTGGGGTGCCAGTGTATTTGATTTGTTACACGAGTAATATCTTAGCAAATTGAAAAGATAAGAGGCTCTTAGTTTACATTCTAGCTTGTCAATATCAGTAATTTGAGTTCCTAATTCATACGAAACTATAGGCTTTGTATTTTCACATCACAAAATCTAACTTGAACCAGTGCTGCATTCAACATACCATATGACACACAAAAATTGATGTTTGGGTTTTTTTAATATTTATTTTTAAATTAAGAAATTGAATAATGTATAATACTAAAATTTGAATTTTAATCTACAGTTTGATACCAAACATATTGACATAAATTCATGAAATAGTAGTTCAATAAAATTTTGAATGCAAGTCAACAAATGCCATGACATGGCCTTTCACCCATGACCCATCTGGAAAGGGTTAAATTCAGTTATGGAAGCTCTTCTAATGTAATGATTTCAGTTACTGAGAAGTGAGCACTTCTACAGACATTTTTGAGTAGAGAAAGAATAAAAAACAAGTAGCAAGGAAATCTCACCAACATTTATCTTTTGTTACTCTAGACATTCATTAATTGTGAGAGAAAACTCTATCTAAAGAAATTTTGCTAACAGTGTTGTCTAAGTTAGTTACTGTTAGTTACGAGTTTGTTAAAAGTTTTGAGAAGTGCATGGAAATGAAATACTTTTTGGAAGGTTATAACTTCTGTTGATTCTCAAACAACAATGTTTTTATAGGCTAAGTGTCTTACCCGAAATGAAAGCAAGTAAAAAAACTGATAAGTAGTTAAGTACACGTTTATCCTGGACACACTTTATGTTATGTTGTTTACAAGTAGATATTAATTTGCTCTTTCTCCACAGGATCTTGGACTTTCACAGGCAGCAGCTAGCAGGTCAATGGCTCCAACTCCGATGGGCTCTTTGGCCAACCAGATCTATCAATTAATGATTAATCATGGCTATGGGTTAAAAGACTTTTCGTCAGTCTTCATGTACTTGCAGAAGAACGAAGTTGGTGAACACAAGAAATGAACATTAAAAATTATTTCTTGGTAAAGTTTACATTCAAAAAGAAAGTTATATTAGGTACAGGTGTAGGTAAAGTTATTTCATGTAAGGCAGTATAGGGAGTAATTGCAGTTACTCTGTACATATTACTCCAGTTTGTTAGCAGTGGATTTCTAATGAAGAAAATTCATTTTTTAAACTTTTTATATCATGTGAGACTTCTTAATTTGATTCATTATATCGAACAGTAAAAATCTAAATCACATTTACTGTATTGAACCTGTTATCTAATATTAATAATAAATGGTCTTAATTATGAGTGATGAACAAACTACAATAAACTTCTATAACCACTCTGCCCTAGGTAATCAGTTGAGTGTTCTCACCACTAGCAGTTTTACTTAGTAAATATTGGTAAGTTTCAGTGGTTTACACTTGTGTGATATAGTAGTTGCTGTAATTAGTTTTTAAGATTTTTCTTTAAAAGAGCTAAAGTGACAAATTTTTGGAACCCATAAAAAGGTCTTAAGACATGTAAGTACTTGTGAGATGTGACAGGTCATTCAGCGTGACTCTACTAATATAAGGAAGGTGAAAGACTGGGAACTTTTCTTTGTGTAACATATTAAGTTATCAGGCAAAAACTAATTGCATTCAAACAATATTAATCCAGGGAAAAGCAGATGTATCACTGCTAAATGTAAGCAGTCATAGTGTGTAGATGTACCTATATGTTAATGTATGATCAAAACAAAGAGTTTAGTAATTGGGTTTTCCTTACTACTGATTTTTAAAAGGACTGTTTGGATGGAAGCATGACATCTAAATGTTTGTTTGTGTAATAACTGAACAATAAAGTTTTCTTGGTTTTTGTACAGTATGAGATTTTTTATGCAGTACATATGATTAAATGTTGTGCGTAAAAAGACTTAGTAGGATTGTTGTAAACGAGTACTTTCAGCATGAATGAAGTTAAAACGAAAATACATCTTAGAGTTCACTTCTCATTGCATAGCTATAGAATATGGTAAATTCAAAATATAACTACAGATCTCAATCAGAATCTTTTTTTTTTTTAAGTTAATGTTTCATAGGTGACTGATACTAGATATTAGATGCGGTTATCCAGTCTGCTGGATTAATTCTGGTTTCTAAGAATTAAAAACACAGGAGTGATCTTTAAGAAACAGTCATTAAAATGTTATTGAGACACTTGTATGAGGGCAGCAATAACGAGGATTTTGACGTTTTTCTAGTCTCATTAAGATGTACTACATTCATTATTATGAAAAAGGTTAAAATACATACCGAATCTGTATACTTTGATTCATTAAGATTTATCAAATCAAGTTTATGAAGACTTGTTTTCTATATGTTATTTCTCATGTGTAAATCAATTTTCAATCATTTTTATCTCACTAAAATCATCCACAAAAAAATGAAAGGTATAAATTCTACACATACATTTGGTACCAAGAACTCGTGCTTTTATGTCCAATTGTACACATTTTAGGCCTTAAATTTGGAGACGGCTTGAATGGGTAGTAAAAGGAACTTTATTACATCACTGTTCACGTAAAAATTACGCTTTAACTATATAACAACTATCAGTAAGAAAGGTACTGGACAAATAATGCTATACTTAAACTTTCATCTTATTTGAACTGATAAAAAAACCTAATACTGTACTATTATATTTCCATGATCATATGAGAAGTGAGGGCCAGTTAATTTTGGGCAATTACACTAAGATGGTAAAAAAAAATTGTTTTTATTGTATTGTACAAAGTCTTGGTAAAACTACTAGTTGGTTCTTCTAATAATATAGACAGATTGATCTTTTTTTAATAGACGTACAAGTGATACCAGAGTTGGAGCACTGAAAACCTGGAGGTTTTTGAAAGAAAAATGCAAATAATAAAAAAAAAATACGAAATCATACTACAGAAGTTTTTGCCTATGCTTTGAATTATGCTTCAAAAACAACCTTAAGCTGAAACGAACACTTTAAACACAAAATAATGTTTAATAATACTCTTTCACTAAATATTATTAAACTGTAAATGTTAATTTATCTTTAAAAAAAAACACCTGAGACTACTACTGTGAATGCCCCCCAGTGGCACAGCGGTATGTCTGCGAACTTACAATGCTAGAATCCGGGTTTTGATACCCGTGGTGGGCAGAGCACAGATAGCCCATTGTGTAGTTTTGTGCTTAATTATAACCAACTAACTACTGTGAATTTGGTAGAAATTTTGCCTTTTATGATATCATCAGTGAGATTGTTAATTTTGTACGGTTGAGACAACTATCAAGGTGAGCAGAATTATATAAAAACATTAAATCTTTACATGAAAACTAAAACTAATCTATGAACAAATAAAATAAAATCGTTTTCAGAACATTGGAATATTTTTTACCCTTGTGTGGTGGAAGCATCTTCCATTAAATAATGGAGTACATTTCTGTATTGGAGTATGATAAGATTGGTATTGAAGGCTGTTACAGCTGTACTGTTCTATACCTTCAGACTAGACTAATATTTACTGAGGTAAAATAAGCCCAGAGACAATTAGAACTTCTCAAGATATGTCAAGTGTATACCAGTTTCTGAACCACCAGTCCATCACAACCATCTTGCGAGTCTGTGAGATTACATGAAAACAAACAAAAATTGATAGAATATTCATATGTCATTTGTAATGGTTTTTCATTACATTTTAGTGGCCTGTAACAGTATAGTGGCAGTGTACTAGTTCCTGGTATCAAAAAAAAGATAAGACTATTTATATATCCAGACAAGATTTAATATTTAATAAAATCAAAGAACAGGGTTTAATATTTATTAAAATCAAAGAACAAGGTTTAATTTGAAATCTGAGTTTCAAGAAAATGTGTTTACATTTGTTACTTTATATTTCCAAAAAAGATTTAATATTTAATAAAAAGAAAAGGTGTTTAAATTCAATCTAAAAGTTGTTAGAACAAACCCTTATTTCTCTCTCTTGATTTAAAATTATTGATCTACATTAAGAAGCACACAGTCATTTTGTTTTGTATCCTTCAAACAAAGATGTTTCACATTGTACACACTACTATAATACAGCAATAACTTGGTGATTTCAACATGACTTATTATATACAACTAGAGCTACATTAAAAATGTGTTCTGATGTAGTTATATCCACTCGTTAAGAAGGAATAAAAACAAACATTCCTATAGAAGTACAAAAAATACGTTAAGAAGGAATAAAAACAAACATTCCTATAGAAATACAAAAATACGTTAAGAAGGAATAAAACTCATAACTTATTCTGCATTTATTTATCTCCATTTAAATGTAATTAACATTAGTTAATATTAATTACTATTCACTTTGAATATTAGCATATAATACGTGTCATTAGCACGAGTCTTGCATAGAAGAATGGTACTTTAACTTCAGACCAAGAAACAAGGTACTGTACTCAAACAACCTGTAAATAAAGTTATACACATTGAAAAACTGGTAAAGGTGTAATTACACCCATCTCCTCAAACACATTACAAAATACACAATTTTAACTTTTGTAGACCCATGTAAAATAATTACAGACAGTAAATACAAATAATTTAGTCATATATATTGTAGTATACACAAATTTATTGGAAACTTTCAGAGTCATGAAAAATTATCACCAATTCAAAATATTTGGTGTTTTATTCCTGATTCTCCAGTTGACCTGTTAGATTCTGTGCAATTATTATCCTCATGTTCAATATATATTAAGAGAAAATGGATTATTTTTTCGCTATAAACTACAATATATTATTACATGTCTGCAGGCAAACATTGTACAGAAGTCAGTAGCCTTTTCAAAATGTAAACAATAAATGAAATTTCATAATAAAGTGGAGTGGAATTTATAGGGTGTGGGTTATGTTTGAGGATTGTTTTATTAGAGTGTTCTACCAACTGAACTATAGGGTTAACCCACTACTGTTGAATTGGAAGAAAATTATATAATTTGGAGAACATTGATAATAGGAATTATTTTGAAATTTGAAGTTATAAATTATTTAATAGTGACAGACCTTTTAAAAAAAGAGTGAGTGGGTGGCTTGGGTAGCTCTTTCCATAAGGGGTGAACTGGATCCTGATAGAATTGAAGACATAAGAAATTGAATCTCAATCAGAGGTTCAACGAGAAGAAATATTTTAATTGCTAACTATTACAAGCCACTTGATAAGACATAATGTGAATGATAAATTGTATAAAAAAAAACAGGGTTATCATTAATAGGAAAACAAAATCAATAATGGTGCAAAACTAAGGTGACATCCAAGAAACAGTGATCAATGCATAATTAGGTTTAATGTTTTGTTATATGCTGAGATAAAAGAAATTAAATCTTAGTTCCTACTTTTCAGAAAGCCAGTTTTAGGGCTATGGAAACAAGATTTATCATTAGTAAATTTGGATAATTGGTGATGTAGGGCAGATTCAAGAAACTTCCCAAATATATTGCTTTTATCTCAAGATGGCATGTTCTTAAACGGAGGCTTGTTTGTTTGTAATTAAGCACAAAGCTACACAATGGGCTATCTGTGCTCTGTCCACCACGGGTATCGAAACCCGGATTCCAGCATTGCAAGTCCGCAGACATACCGCTGTGCCACTGGGGGGGCTTTTAAAAGGAGGAAAATGATAACAGACAAGATAAACTTGGTACAGACTTAAAGGAAGAAATCACAGGTAAATATCATAGGCTAAAAAGCTTAAATTGACAGAAAGGATTGAAGATTTACAAAACTATAAAAATCTTGGGATTTCATTAGAAAAGAAATTACAAAATCAAGGGAACGGGCCCTTGGATGATTCTGATGATGTAATAGTTATCATACACAGATATAAGGAAAGGTTAGAAAATGGGTAATAGGTGATATTGTTGAAGTATACAAAATTATTTGGGGATAGGATAAAATTCTCCGATTTCTTTGTGCTGTGTTGTGAAGACAACATGACATAACACTAACTTTATGTTAACCAAACAGAACACTAAAACCCACAATAAACGTAACACGCTAAGCTTGTAGTAGTAGTAGTAATGTTACTTTAGTATCAGCATGTTATCCATTTTAAAACTTACAGAAAAACTAAAGAAAATGCTGAAGGTAAAAATGTAAACCATCCCGCTTTTTACGTTTTTATGTCACACTACCTAGTGCTAAAGTCATTTGATAACACGATTTAAAAAAAAAATCGCAATTAACACAAACTTCTACCTAAAGCAAGACATATAATCAAGTCGAAAAAAAAATCAAATGGGCAACAAGTACACTGTACAGTTAAAACTATATTTAATTTTTTTTTAAGTTAGAAATTTTGAAACTTATATTTTTGGAACTGTTAAAAGTTCAGCAAATTCAATTTTTTGAATCTACATAATTTTTAACGAGAAATATTGAATAGAGGTTGGGCCAAATTGTTTTAAATATAGGTATACGCCTCTTATGACTAAACTTATGGTTAGGTGGAGACAAGGTATAACCACAAACGCCAATAGTCTGCCTTCCTTCGCTCTGTTGTTTATCATTCGCTTAGAAATGTGTATCAACTAATTGTTATCAAGATTTAGACAATCTGATTGGATAAAGTAAAAAAATGATGACAAAACCTTGTCGAAACGTTGTACATTTGCTGTCATGTTAAACTTATATTAAAGTTTTTCTTCATTACCCATTTAAGCCGTCTCCAGCCATTAAAAGTAAAAATTGGTTAGTAACTAGTATCCAATCAATACAGAAATATAAAAATAAGGCTTCTGTGTGGAACTTGGCAAAAGAGAGCACGACTGCGAGTACGAAGAGTGTTGTTATTCAAATAGATCA